AAAAAAAAAAAAAAAAAAAATAGAAAATATATTTAATACTTTATATACTTATATAATAAAATTTATATATATATATTACATATATATAAATTTATGTATATTTCATTGACTCAGAAATTTTTATTCCGAATGTGATTATATTTTATTAATGTAAAAAAACTTATTATAAAATATTTTTATATATAAAAGATCAATCATTATATAAAAAATAATATATATATATTATTCTATCAATTCTTTGCAAAAATCAAATATATTTCTGAACTTTTTCTCTTCTTTTCAGTGACTTAACGTAAAATTTATCGAACAATTGCAAATGGTTAAACATCGATGATTAAACTACTATATGAAAACTATCGAAAATAATTTAAGAATCTGGAGAGAAAGTTAATATTTACCCAGCAACCGGTGTCATTTTCATCGCAAGCGCCCTGCTAATGCAAAATCCGGCGCCACCTGTCGCAAACCAGAATTTCACCTTTTGCTGCAACAGAAAAACCAATCTGGTTATTCGATAGCAAAAAAAATTTCTAATCTTCAAATATTCAGGATCGTGATCGATTGTTCACGAGACGGTCAATCGATCCCCGTCACGTACACCGATCATCGTCCATGACTTTCCGGATTGGGGCCACGATCGATTACATCTTGACGCATCGGTAATCGATAATACGCTTCTACCTTCTTTGGGACAAATTACGATCGAGCTGTACAGTAACGGTTAGAATATTCGATCTTTGATTGAAATTGATTGGCATTGCATCAGTGAATAAATTTTATTTCATTCTTTTTCTGTCGATGGATGAGGAGAGATTAAGACAAGTGACAGATATACATCAATCGAGGTATTTGATTGGAAATAATATTTATATATATATATATATATATATGTATCAATAAATTTAAAAACTTTCTTAAGTTTTAGAGAATGATGATGATCGTATTCGAGATATTCCATGGGAATATTTTTTGTTATCAAATATATCAGAGAATTATAAGATTAAGAGGAATTATTATTAATCAAATTTCGAAGAGTCGTCGATGATCCAGATATTCGATTATCATAACATTTTTTTTTATGGAATATATCATAATTATGAAATTGAAGAGAATGTTTCTATTTAAAAATTATACAATAGAAAAATTGTAAATGACTTTTTCTGATATCAAATATTATATTGTGTATCGTCTATCTCACAATCAAAAAAGTCAATCTTTCACTCCGGATGGAATGAAGAAAACGAGGATTCTGTTCAAGAATACTTGAATGAAAAGGCAAAAAGGAAAAAGGAGAAAGGTTTCCGATCTTCCCAACGACCTGGAAATTCGATACGAGAAAATCATGAATCTACTCATGAAACGTATGATTACAAGTAGATTCTTCGAAAATGATCATTTATATCGATGAAATTTTATATAAGGCATTGAGAATCATAGTGACATAAATAATATGGTCATTACTTTGAGAAATTCATATTTAGAAATTAATATTTAAGAAAAAAATAATTTTTATTATATATTTTTATATTCTTCGATTTAAATATTGAAATATTGATTTTAATATTGAAATATTGATTTTAATTTATAATATGTTGAGATAATTTAACTAGTAGTAATTTAAAATAACGCGAAATAATAGCATAGTTCCATTTTTTATCGATAATATCTAATTGACAATAAGCGGAATAATAAACCATTATAAGTAGAGCACTCTATTTATACGAACGTTTTCGTCATATAACACAATTAAAAATATACATTCTATCCATGATATAAAATTTTTTCAAAAATTTTGAATTTTAAAAATATTTTCAAACCGATCCAATTTCTCGTTAATAAACTATCATTCGTTCAAATGTTTCGAATATTCATAGTCTCGGTAGAAGCGCGCGTACGAAACGGTGCACGGGAGTATTGTCGGGTTTTTTGAAGGAGACCGGTTTCATTGGTTAGATACGCACGTGCAGCATGCCTCAGTTCACGGTTGTTCGTCATGTACCACGCCTAGCCTATGAGGAAAGGAGCACGAGTTCTAGACCGGCGGCGAGATAGTATCGCTGCCATGGATATAGTCCAGCACTAAGAGGTTGCCTCTAATAGCCCCAAGCCACGAGGAGATCGAGGCTCGACACGCTCGATTTCCTCCCGATTTCTCGCGAATAAATCTTTTACGAGAAGTGGAAAAAAAAATTTTATCCATTTTTCTCGATTATTTAGTTTCACTTTTCGTTTCGTTCCACTTTATTTCGAATAATTTCGAAAGAAGTCTATCTACAGATATCTGCTAAGTATATTATCATATATTATCTTTTTTAATAAGAAATAGAAGAAAAATTGTATTTTTCTTGATTCTGTTTGTTAAGCTTCACTTTTCATTTTAAATAATTTCATTAAAAGTATTTTAAATTTAGTAAAAAGTATTCCTATGATCTAATAGAAATTTTGTCTAATACTTTTTCGAAACTATAATAATGTATCAAATATTATAAATTTAGAAAATTTTGTAAATGTAATCTATCTATATTTAATTTGTAAATATAATCTATCTAATATTTAACAAATTAATTTTTTATCTATTCTACATAAAATTCACCAATTTCAAATAATCGTCAAAACTATTATTTATAAAATTATATGTATAAAAATAATCTAAAAATTATTGTCGATATTGTAACAGATTAAATCTACATTATTTGAATGAAAGTTAGAACTGTGACAGGACCTCACGAATGCATTAGATATACACTGGCAATCGATCTCTACGATCTCTCTTTTCTTTTTTCTTTTTAGGATTTCTATTTAAATAACACGAGGATAAAGGAGTCACGAAGAATCCGTGGAATCCCGGAGTCTATTCACCACTTTGAATAACACTTTTCTTATGTTTAATTCTTTGTAATCTCTCCATGATTTGAGGTTATGTAGAGAATTACAATACTTTATAAATTTTCATCTATGCCTTTGTCGTATTATTGTATTTATTTTTCACAAGCAATCTACTTTAACTATTTAATATAGAAATAATGTAATACAAAATTGAGAGAGAATGAAATTTTAAAAGTTTTACAAATATTTGGATCGAAATTGAATCGATATTCCTTTAGAAATTTGGAATTTTATTAATTTGTTATTGATGTTTTTGAAATCACATGAAGAAATGAAAAAAAAAACTTTTATATGAAATTAATACAAGTATGTATATAAAATTTCTACATGCAGAATGCACAACAGAATTATCGATGAATTATTGAGATTCGTGATTATTTCCTTCATTAACCGATACAAAATTCGATTACTCAATGCATCTTGAAATTTATATAATACGAATATCGATACACGACACTGTAGAAAGAAAACCATTACTGTCAAGGCAATAGCTCCATCCTGTATGCTAATAATATCATTTATCTTTGAAGTACGTATAACAGTTTATACGCGATCGAAGTAAAAGTTGACTTTAATTAGTCAACTTGCAATTTTTTTCTTTGCATCGTTCGATTAATTCGCGAGCAAAAACTTGTCTGGATGACAACGAATGCAGTCAGTAATTAACCTCGAACAAGATAATGAAAATCAAATAACAAATCACTCCGGATATTAACGATAGTTCCATTTCGCAATCAATATATATATTTTTTGTGCTAATATTCATTAATGATGAAATATTCGAAAAAAAATCCTAAAGGATTTTGAGAATAAGGTTGTCAAATTAATGTACAAATTTTGAAAATAAAAAAATTTATTGCAAAACAGACGATTGTCAGAGATGCAAGAATTTTCAGGATTTTCTATCATGGACACAATATAGGTTATATGACACTATGGGCGAAATATTCGCAATACAATATTGTTCGTATAATTTGCGATCACTTACGATATATTCCACACACTATATCACACTAAGTCATACGATGTCACTGACGAAATATTTTGGAATATAATTCATATGATACCACTGACGAAATACTTCACAATATAAAATAACAATTCGCGACACAATATAGTTTATACGATACTATGGACGAGATATTTCGCGACACAATATAGTTTATACGATATTATGGACGAGATATTTCGCGACACAATATAATTTATATAATATTATGGACGAAATATTCCGGAATACAGTATAATTTATACGCCAGAAACGAAATATTCCGCGACGCTATATCGTTCGCACGACGCCATGAATAACACGAGACTGAATGTTGTTCGAATCGAACTATCGATAAAACTAACATTGAAATCTCGTTCTAATAAACAAACTCGAGAAATACTTCGAACTCGTTCGTAGTGTCATACGAATTATATAAATATTACGTTCGAATATTTCGCTTATAATGTAATGCGAAATATTTTTTAATGAAGCGATTAATAAACGACAATTTTAAATCGAAAAAATTTCTCGAACTTAATATTTAATTTAAAAAAAAAAAAGATTTCATAATAAGATTTCAACTCTTTTTATATTTAACTATTTAAAAATTAATAAAAATTTACATTCTAAAAATAATTTTTACATTAGTTTCAAATATTACTGAAAAAAATATCGAAACACAATATTAGAATTTCAATTAATCAATAATCTCATTTAGAAAATTAATTTTTAATTAATTATATTTTGTTTTATCATAATATCGTATTTATTTCCAAAAAAATTTATCTCGAAAGGGTTAAATAACCTCAAAATCATAAACCATCTTCACAAAAAAAAAAAAGAAAGGAAGAAAAAAAATATTTATTAAAAAAAAGTATCGAGGGACAACACCTGCCCGCTCGACCAATTTTAATTATTCCCCGACCACTTGTAACTCCATGGGATCTGGAGAAATCGCAGAACCCTGACGTTAGCTGTGGAAGATCGCTGGCCAAGATTGCGCCCAGCCAGCTCCCTTGACTAATTACATTCCGAAGACTGGCTTCGAAGGGGGTTGATGCGTCCACTCCCTCCCTGAGAAACCGATTATACGACCCATGCGATCCTATATCCAATTACCTAGCGACGATTGGCAGCGATCCAGAGATAAATTCACCAGGTTGATTGGTCCTTATCTTCTTATCATCCCTTTGAGAGAGATAGGGGAATTTTCGGACCCCTTGTGTTAGGATTGGTACAACCAATGGATGGAAGAAAGTTGTAAAATTGATGTCAGGTATAAGTTTCTCGTTTTAGTGGAAATTAAATTGGGTTAATGGATTTCTTAATTGATCAATTAAATCGAATAAAAAGTTTCTTCTTTCATTTTCTTAAAATTTTAAATTTGAAATATATATTTATAGCAATATCGATGATATATAATTAAATGCAAAAAATTTAAATATTTTAAATTTAAATATTGTATAATTTTGTAATACAAAAATTATATAATAACTTCTAAAAAAGTTTATTTTAAAAAAGACAATATTTGAATATTCTGATATTAACATTATAAAATTATTAAACTTCATTAACATTGCTATCAATATATAAAAAATATTTATAAAAAAAATCGAAATATAATGGACCAATTTTTTCAATTAATTTTCATTTCTAAAAGACATTTCGAAAATTCTAACGAATTCATTAAACCATAATAAACAAGACCGTTTAAACGGTCCATCGACCTCATCAGGTGATTAAGAGATTGACGAAAATCAGGGGCAAAAAACGCAAAAACTGAAAAGGTACCAAGAAAGAGCATCCGAAAACCTGACCAAAGAGATCGGTATAACCAGATGAAATATAGATGGTAGTTTAAACGGCGGCAGTCGTAAAGGCGTTAATTAGTCGAAGGACCCATTCCAATCCGGAAACCGATAATCGAAGCCGGCTATGATGGGTCTTCGCATCTTCTAAGGCCTATGAACAGCTAATGATCGTAAAACGAAGACCGAATGACACTGGTTAGTAATATCTGATGGAGAGTGGGTGGCTGTCTGTCGGTATATTAGGACTAATGAATAGATTAGAGGCGCCGATATCGACCGAGCTAACTATGCGAATACGCATGACTTCGTGATGGGAAAAGCGAAGAATGCAATAGAGGAATACATAAAGAGATAATGTTAATGCACCGATGGATAATATATAAAAGATTATTATTAATGATTTTAATTCATTTGCATAAATGTATATAATATTCACAATAAGTAACTGTCTATATGTATTATGATTTCATATAAAATAATTAGTCTAGATTGTTCTCATTTTTATCAATATATATATAAAGATGTGTATACGAAATAACTTTTTTTATTTTAAAAAAAATCAATAAAATAAAATATCAATTTTTGATTGTTTTTGAAATATTCGCACTTAAATTTAAAAAAAAAGTTAGTGATGAGATTATATTTTTCATTCTTTCGTGATACAAATGAATTAAAAAATATAATAAAATAGAACGATGTTTCTTCGTATTTTATCTGATTATTCTTGAATAGAAAAAAATAAATATACCAAAAAAAAAGGAAAAATTCTACGTCTAGATTGTAAAAATAATAATGAAAATAATAGTATGCGATAAATATCATGGAGTTTGTAACTATTCCAGATTAAAATACGAAAAAAGTAGCATAATTATTTCTACGAAACGATGTTCGATTTTTTCAGAAACTTCAAATTTCCATTTGCGTTACGCTCCACCGAGTTCTACTCAAATGATCAAAGCACTCGATCCAGAAGAACGAACAGAAGAAAAATCAAAGAATTCCTTCTGCATTCTCATCGATAACAAACACGGTGCTATCGGTAGGAATATTAACGAATGATAATTACATACAAGCTGCGTCAATTTGCATGCGTGTCCACGTGCTTGCAACGGTCGCCGATATCCCAATAAAATAATGTAGAACGAGAACGAGAGGTTAGATCGAGGGGCTTCGTATACCGGACACGTAACTTACAAAAAGAGTATCTCGATATAAGCATAATATCTCACAGAAGTATAATAATATCGAAATAATGGAGGTAACGTCAAATACAGGATCCGTAATATGTCCATAAAGTATGAAACATAGTATAGTAACTCTAACGACAAATTTTCGAATGAGAAGAATACATCACATTATCCCCACTACTGTTGCTAGAATAGGCAGAGATGTCACGTGACATGATGTAAACCTAGTGGGCGTAACATATTTTTCTCATTTGGAAATTCGTCAAAGCCAAATGATATATTTTTGTCTCTAATTTAGCAATATATAATATAATTTAGCAAGTTATATCTAAAGTAAATTTGAATCGTTCGCAACTTAATAAATAATCAATCGACATTTTTGCAACTTTTGTGTTTGTTTCTTTTTTATTTTTAGAATCGACCATTCAAAAGATCTCGCCTCTCATATATTAACTCTTTATATACGCGATACAGGAACTGGCCGAATCCCCACTCGAGGAACTGATACGCGATGGCGAAGGGGCCGTCATAGGGTCACGAGCACGTCTTCGAGCACGCTGGTTACACCGTAAACCGCTTGAAACGTTCACCTGTCCTCGTTCGGCCGACACCCGTTTCGTTCAAAGACCATCGATATACTAGAAGGATGCTAGGGTACACGGAAAGGATACACGGGCACACGCTTCCGGGTTTGGTCTGCCTATAGCCGGACCAATTGTCGAGGCTCGTGGATCGGCCGATTGGCTGGATACGTTTTAACGCGGCTTCGAGTAACGGCATCGAGAGATTAAATTCCTGGGCGTATAGGGAGGAAAGGTGTGGTTAAAGATCTTTGGAGAGTTTGCGGGGTTAAAGACTACTTACGGACGCCGAGACGCGTTGCGATGCAGGTATCAAGTGATGGGTTTGAAGTGTATTAGTTCCAGCGTTGTACGAGTATACTTAAACCCATCACTTAAATTAAATTAATGCAACACGTGTTAATATATTTAGGTTTCTTAATCTGAGATTCTGCAAGATTTTTTGTAAAAATGTAAAGATACTTGTACATGATGAAATGATAGTACAAAATATTGTTTTAATAGTTTCAGAAATATGTTTTAACTGTTTTGTAGATTTTTTAAGAGTTTGAGAAATTTTTTAAGATTTATAATACTATTTCAAATGTTGTCTACTGATTTATGAATTTTTGGAGACTCATACAAGAGATTATGCGAATCGAAAAATTTAAGAATCTGGGATACAAGAAATTTGAAAATTCGAAGATTTGATCTGAAAGTTAAGTGAAACAGTTGCGTGTTTGTACGTACGTTTTCAGAAAGAAAGAGGTCAGTCTCGGCGATTTTAAGGAACCTCGAGCGTAATTAGGAGACGTATTGTTCGATCTGAATGCGAGGGGGGGATCGCGTGACCCGTGACGACCAGCTTTTGCTTGGTCTGCGTGAAAACTGAGACTGATGCGCGTTCCCGCTGGAAAATCCGTGGCCACAACAATTACAATGGGGAAGGGAAGTTAATTAGATCGGAAGATTGCTCTTTTCCCGGGATTGAATTGCAGATAAGAAGTAGATTGGAAAGAAGGAAGTACGATATCCTTGAATGTTGTGCAATTATAGTTCTGAGACATGCATTCTTCTATACTCTTGCAGAATTTTTTTACAATTCTTAATACTTCAAACTTATTAAATTTTCACATTTCAGATCCCTAGGTTTTTCAATTGTACAATTTTCGGATATTTCCAAATTTTCTGTTTCTCGAAATCTCAAATTCGAGAAACAGACAACAAACAATCGAAAATTTTACGAATAATATCTTAAAAAAATTAATACAACTTCGAAATTTTCAAACTTTAGATTTCCAATTCTATAATTTTCAGATTTCAAATTTTCAAATTCCTTATTCCACAATTTATTAAATTAAAATCCTCAAAAAAAATTTTAAATTTCGAATATTGACAGATCGAAAACTTGGTTGCACATTAAAAAATTAATAGCACTTGGACAATACCAGTGTATCCATTCGTGTCAAGAACAGTTCTTCTTTTCACCGAAGTTCGTCGATTATATATATTGTTCACAGTCGAGTTCTCACATGAGATCAAATGCCTTGGCGACCGTTTAAATACCGGCAGACGATCGACAAGGGGGAAATTTTGCACCCAGTTTCCCAGGATTGTAACAGAATCCATACTTTCTTATCGACAGGAATCCTGATGTTGTGAGGTGCGATCGACTTCCACTTTGTGGCTTCGTTCTTTTTTTTTTATCCAACCAGACCGGTTATCGTTGGATCCATGAATGGAAACTATTCCTTTTTTCTCGAAAGAAAGGAAGATTTAATAGTTAGAGTATTTGGAAAGTTTTTTTTAAACAATTCTAGAAATCTTGAAACCGTCGAAAAACTAAGAAACCTTAGAAACTTTGGAAACTTCGTAGCTTTAAGGAATAATAGCAATAATATTCCTGCCCTAACCTAACTTTGAAAGAATACGTCACTTGCTTGGAAACGTTAAAAACTTAGAGATAGATTAAACTTTTCTTCCTCCACTTCAATTCTCCACTTTCGATTCCCTCCTTATGTAACGGCAGCCATTGAACTTTCGATCATCCTTGAACTCTTCTCGATTCACTAGCACTCGCATCGAATAGCACGAAGGAAGCGGAAAATCGGGCGAGTAGATGGCGCGTGCACCACGGCCAAGGCCGCGCGGAAAAACCGGTCACGCCTGAGCGGAATAGGACGCTCTAAGAGAAGACAGTGATTAATGGGAGCAAAAGGAGGGAAGAAATTAAACGGCGCGCCTCTCGTGGCCGCTTGTCGAACGAGAAAAAGGGAGAGGGCGCGCTTAATCGAGCTAATTTAACCTATGAATATCGTGGATCTCGGGAACGCGTTTCAATTTACGCGTTGGAATCGTTGCCACTGATTGAACAATTCTATATAATTCAAATATGATCTGGACTATAATCTTTTAATATTTTACTTCTTTTTCTCTTTTTTTTAAAATTAATCCACGAATCTAGAACCTATGCTTTGGTTAATATTTT